GAGGCTCGCGGGGAAGATAGAAGTCGCTTATGATGAATTTTAGATGGATCTAATTCCAAAGGCTCAAAGCTTTCTGTCAAGAATGGACATGTCGGGGGAAATTTACTCTTAATTAGCAATCTGTTCATTTATGAATACAACAACAACTTGGAGGTGTGAGACAAGTTGATAGGTTCAAGATATTTGAAACAATAATTTCAGATAATAACTTAAACCTTTAGGAAATTAATTTTGTTTTATATAATGCTGCCAGCTAGTGGCCCTATTTTATACTGAGCCATTGGATAGAATACTTGTTTTGTACACTACTGAATCAAATATTCTACTTTTCACATTTTAGGATCAGGTTCGAAAACTATGTAAGCCTAAGCCTGACTTCATTTTACAAAACCAAAACCAAACACACTGCCATCACAAGTAAACCGCTCCCCCCGACCCCCCCCACACACACACACAGCAACCCTCCGGAGCAAGGTAGAGCTTCCCCTGTGGGTTGTCGAGACGGTAACTCTTTGCAGGAGCTGAAAGCTTCATCTCTCTCCCATGGAGCAGTTGGTCATTTCAAACTGCTGACCTTGTGGTGAGCAGCCCAATGCACAGCCACCACGTCACCAGCAGTTATAGCTATGTCAAATTAAAGAAGAATATTTCCTCTGTCGCCATTAGCATTCCCTGTCCAGTCCTTGCTCTGGTTCCCAAGGAAATCATGATATGCCTAGGTTTCGGGGGCTGTGTGTGTGTGCGTGGGGGGGGTGTCTGTGTCAAATAGGTGGCAATGTATAAATGTTAAAAGTACAAGTCAAAGAAAACTACAATGATTTAAGCACTTTAGGATAATTTGGGGACATGGATATATCCCGTAAAGGGTTAGACAGTGGGTTGCTAACCACAAGGCCAACAGTTCCAAAGCACTAGCTGCCCCAAGTAAGAAAGACCAGGCTTCTGCTCCCATGAAGATTCACAGCCCCCGAAACCTGCTGGAGCCGTCCTACTCTGTCAACTCAATGGCAGTGAGTGTGCGGTTTTTCATTGACAAAAGTACATAAACACTTTCCTATACAATCAACAGTTGGTCACAACATGGGTAAAATTATTGCCAAAGTATCACTGGACATTATAATACACAGACCTATTATACACAGACTGGACATTATTATACACAGACCTAAATATGTCATAAGGCAGAATTGATAATAAAGTATGTAACTTTTTGTTAAAACAGTAAGTCATTATAGTTCTGAATTTTCCTTTGAGAAAAATTATGAGTACTATTTCCACGCTTAAAATGGAGATTTTTCACTGATAGTAAACTATTTTAAGACAAATAAACCATGCAGCCAGTTATGAAGGTGTGCACAGCTCCTATTATAGCATGCTGTTCAACTCAGTAGGAGCCCTGCTGATATAGCGGGTTACGAGTGTGGACTGCTAATCACAAGGTCACCAGTTCAAAGCAACTGCCACTCCTCAGGAGAAAGACTAGGCTTTCTACTTCAGTAAAGAATTGCAGTCTTGGAAATCCACAAAGGCAGTTCTACCCTCTCTTATACAGTCGAGATCAATTCAAAGGCAGCGCGTTTTGTTTTTAATTCAACTCAGTACCAGAAAGCTATTCTTACCAGATTTCCTTCACTCTGTGGCATTATTTTATAATAGTTAGTCTTTCTAAGTTAGCTACAGAGCATGAATCTGAATCTAGCACAAGCACTCAAAAAGCATTTGTTGAACAGAAGTAGGAAATCCACCTTCATTAACTAGCAATGCATCAAGGGGTCAAAATCTAACAGTACAGCAAGCTTTTACGACTTATCCAGACGCTTAGGTGAAAAGCCAACAAATGTTGTACTACTACAATACCACATTAAAAAAAAACAACACTCTAGCATTACTGTCTACCAGCACCAAAGAAACATGGTCTGGCATTACTCGGACGAAACACAGACCAGAAAAGTGAGCATCCAAAATTCAGCAAAGAAGAGACACATCCTCTGCAGGATGAACTGAGGTCACAATGGAAACAAGGAACAAAAGGGACTTATCGAAGAGTCCAATGTGCCTTGTGACCTACATTCTGACACACATACACTCCGAACCACAGACTGTACAAACAGATCCCATTTAGCAGGGGTGTCTTATCGTGCAACTGAAGACGGTAGTTTCTAAAGTAAGATACATTGATATTTAGCATATGTGCATCAGTAAAGATAATAAGCATAAAAGAAATTGAATATTCGCTTTTAAAAACACGACACATTTTCCTATATGCTGGGCATATAACTTACAAACATTTCCTGTGTTGTCAAAGCTGGTAAGAACATCTTCAACATTCAAGGATCCATTATTACGCCTAGAAAGAAATAAAGCATCTTCTGTAATGATTCTGAAATGTATTAGTGTTTCTTAAATTTCAAGAAAAGGTGGCTCTTTCTGTTGCTACACATCCAACACTAAAAAAAAAAAAAAATCTAATGCTTCACTTAAAACTTATTTCCTGCCCACTAGAGGGAGAAGGGAAGAAATAGCACAATACAGTCCTAAGAACGTTTGGTGTGACAGCAGTTCTTCATCAGGAGTCTACTTTAATGATTTAACAAATACTTTGGTGTTTGTAAGATGCTTTTATCTTTCGTTTTTGTTTTAGTTATTTACCAACAAGGAAAAAAGCGTCACTGCCAGCAAGCTGATTCCCGTTCACAGCAGCCCGGGTGGGGGACGTGCGGGGCTTCTGACCACAAGGCCAGCATCTGGAAACCACCAACTGCCCCATGGGAGGAAGGCGAGGCTTCCTCCTCCAGTAAAGACTGACAGGCTTGGGAATCCAGAGGGGCTAGAGAGTTCTAGTCTTGTCCTCCAGGGTGGCTATGAGTTAGTTATTTTAAAAGGGGGCAGGGATAATTTATTAACATTTTAATAGAAAGAAACAACTTCTTTGAGAATTTCAGACTCAAAAGGAAGACAAGGGCTGCAGATCTAAGTCTTTCAAACCTCACATTCTGTATGTCGGCAGTTCTTTTATTACAGTCTTTTCCAAAATGGGTGACAAAGTGGGTGGGCTCATACTCATACAACCCTTATCACAATCCATACATACATCAGTTGTATAAAGCACATTAGCACAAATAACTTTTATTGTGCAGGAGGAGAGGGGATGCTGAGATTTTTTTTTCCTGAAAAAGGTCGGTAGACCAAGTAAGTTTGGACAACTATGTTTTAGTGGGTAGAGATTTAAACTTTTCCTTTTAATCTTAATTATCTCATGCTTTATTTCTCACCCTGCTTCTCTTGATAGCCCTTGTTGACGACTTATATTTTAACTCATGCTTATCCAAGGAAGGAGCCCCGGTGGTGTTACGAGTTACATGTTGGGCCGTGAACTGCAAGGTCAAGAATTTGAAACCACCAGCCACTCCTCAGGAGAAAGACGAGGCTGTCTGCTCCTGCAAAGATTTACAATCTTAGAAATCCACAGGGCAGTTCTACTTTGTCCTATCGGGTTGCTATGAGTTGGAAATGACTCAACGGCAGTGAGTTTGGTTGTGTTTTTTGTTTGTTTGTTTGTTTGTTAGAACACAGCATCGGGGTTGGAGGAAGGCTCATATGTACTAGCTATAGGAAATTGGTAAGTGATTTCTACATGCAGTATATGAGAAATTTTAAAATGTTAATGACAACAGTAAATTGAAAACTTTTAATATAATTCATTATATGTAACCAACCAACATAATTATGAATAGAAAACAAATGGGCCTGTATCTACACAGTTGCATGAAAATATGACTCAACCTTTTGATTTTTATATGCATATACTGGATCTTATTTTTTAAATCCTATAGTTCCCATGAAAATACAAGATAAGCTTCTAGGGCGTTAAATAATATTACTCATTGCTGTGTTTAATATCACTACTAAAGTTAAAATATTTTATTAAAACTTTTAAATGTCAGTTTAGTATTCATATTTGCTTCAGATGCCAGTCTTACCAAGGTCTAAACAGCTGTCTATGAAATGCACATACAAGGTGGAGCAGAGGTGAAAATACTAGATGGCGGACCAAAATGTTGACTACTGCACCCACCGGCCACTCTGTGGGAGAAAGACGTAGCAGTGCTTGCTTCCTATAAGATCTGCAGCCCTAGTCAGCCTGACAACAGTGGGGTTCTGTGGCTACCATATGTCTAAGTACAGTATACCATTTCAAGCACTAATATTTACTTTCTGAGTACTCATTGGTGTATAGTAAGTTCGGTCTGGTGGGCATTTGGTTTATTTTTTTCCTTCTCCTAGAGAAGCCAATCTATGATCTTGAGACAGTGCATTTCCTGTGCTAGAAAAATGCACCACAAAGACAAAGGCATTCTTAACTTCTTGCTCATTCTAAGCTCCTAGGATGAGCCAAAAGTCAACAGTGCCAGCCTTCTAATTCAACAATCACCATAGCAACAGGAGTCTCATACAAAGGAAGAAGGATACTTCAGGTCTCTCAGCTTTTTCTATACCTAAGATATGTATATGTTTATAAGTGATTAAGTCAGGCACATCTGTGATTCCAAATATAATGGAAATATTTGAAAGCTTCTGGAAAATGAAAATTCCTGCTGCACGGAAACTGGGGGGTGGGGAAACTATTTATTTATATATCTATACGGCAAGTGCTATACAGTAATAAACTACAGCTCATAAGCCAGAAGGAGAGGGGATTTTTAATAAAATATTTTAACATGAATACCTTCTAGTATATCTTCCTTTTCTGTACAAGCATCTATTTAATGGCAAATACCTTTTCTAAACAGTTTTTTTTAAGCACCAGAAAGACAAGAAGACTTTGTTGAGGAGTAAGTTAAGACTCAAACTCAATAAATTTTATGTCCCTAACTTTTAATACTTACTTTGGAACAGAGAGTCGACATCCTCATGTATACAAAAAAGATAACAGATTCAAGGGACTTCATAACCTAATATGATATTCAGACTTTTCCTTCTGATGAAAAGCTAGTAAGGGGAATTCCTTATTCCTTTAAGAATCATTGTGTCAGGCTGACAAAAATAATGGCCAAAGTTTAAATTTAGATCACTGCTTGTTGTAGCTCCTGTGTGCCCTTCAGTAGATTCCAACACATAAACACGGTTTGTATATCTTGTAATAATATTAATCCGACCTCCATTGTTGTCGATCCCGTCTAACTCATAGCAATCCTAAAGGACAGAGAAAAACTGCCCTGTTGAGTTTCCAGTCTTCATGGAGACAGATGGGCCAGCTTTCTCTCGCAGAGCAGCTGTGGGGTTCAAACTGAGAACAGTTGGGTGAACAGCAGAGTGCTAAGCCACCGCACCCCAAGAACTTATAAACAAGACACAACTAGACATTCTAAGTAAATATGCAATTGGGACAATCTCCAGGATTTTTGCTTTTTCCCTGGAGGCATAGTGGTACAAGTTAGGCTGCCAACTGCAAGGTCAGCAGTTTGAAATCACCAGCTGCTCGGAGGGAAGAAGACGGGGCTTTCTACTCCCATAAAGAGTTACAGTCTAGGAAACTCACAGGGGCACTGCTACCCCGACCTACAGGGTTGCAGTGAGTTTAGATTTTTCTTTTGGAGTCTAATCTGCCGTTTTTACCACTCAGCAGAAATTAGGTTTAAGAATATAATCTATATTGATAATGGCTTCTTTAATGAAACAAAAAAACCTAATTGTAAATTGGATTGCATCCAGAGGTATAAACCCCAAAATCCACTGCTATCTAGCAGATTGCAACTCTTAGTGACCCCATATAGGAAGCAGGCAGCCACATTTTTCTCCCTGGCAGCTGCTGTTGGGTTTGAAGCCATGTACCACTGACCTTGCTGTTAGTAGCTCAATGCATAACCCACAGCACTATAGGTATAGGGGTTGGGATTCCAACATATTTTGGAAGAGCACATGTCAATCTATAATATTCTGTAAGACAGCGGTTTGCAACCCGTGGGTCACGACCCCTTTGGGGGTCGAATGACCCTTTCACAGTGGTAGCCCGAATCATAACAGTAGCAAAATTACATACAAAGCAGCAACGAAAATAATGGTATGGTTGGAGGGTCACACCACATGAGGAACTGTAAGAAAGGGTCGCGGCATGGGGAAGGCTGAGAAGCCCTGCTGTAAGATGAGGATAACAGTGCTCACCTGAGAAGGTTGAATTAATAAGCTAGGGCATGGGAAGCGTAGAATGCTTTTCACAGAGTAGGTGCTCAATTGTTAGCCAATATTAATGTAATCATCATTGCTTTTATTATTTACTCTACAATCATATTTAGCTCTACAGCCCTATATGCGTATGCTCGCGTCAATGTGTACTACTAATGTGGACAAACGTTGCCTTACAGTTTGAAAAATGGGGTAAGAAAATCTTGGTAGCCATTGAAACTGAAATATGAGCTCAAGCACTTGATTCTCCTTAAGTCGGGAATCAATGTCACATTTATAGTGTCAGAGTTTTTATTTATTTTTTCACAATTGAATATATCACACAGAACCTGCTGCTGGAGGGGAGTCCAACATAATAGCCTGCGATCCTGAGAAGACTGTACCAAGGTCATTCCTACCAGAGATTGCAAATTCTCCCAGGCTAAGCCTTACTAATGCCCAAGGATGTCGGAAGACTATTCTTACTACAATCTATATTTATTGTCTCTTGTTACAGATACATTTTAGAATGTTGTACCTGAAGATCACTACTAGATCACTGTTTTCTTATTAATTTCCTTCTAGATGCTATCTTCTTACTGTTTAAACATCTTTATTATTACTCCACAGAATATTTTAAGGATTAAATGAAATAAATATAGCAAAGCACCTAGCTCTGTACTTGGGGCATAGTTGTGTGTAATAATTTTCTCTTCCTTCCTAACTTAGGATCAAATTGGTTATTGCCTCCAAAATGCAAGGAAGCTATGGTACTTCCATTAAACAACTTTCCTCTAGTTCCTAAATGCTTCCTCTCCACTTACTATCATGATCCCAATTCTACCTTACAAATCTGGCTAGACCAGAGGATGTACACTGGTACAGATAGGAAGTGGAAACACAGGGAATCCAGGACAGATGAACCCTTCAGGACCAGTGGAGAGCGCGGCGATACCGGGAGGGTGGATGGCAGGTAGGGTGGAAAGGGGGAACTGATTACAAGGATCTACATATAACCTCCTCCCTGGGGGACAGACAACAGAAAAGTGGGTGAGGGGAGACATCGGACAGTGCAAGATATGACAAAATAATAATTTATAAATTATCAAGAGTTCATGAAGGAGGGGGGAGTGAGGAGCTGATGCCAGGGGCTTAAGTGGAGAGCAAATGTTTTGAGAACGATGAGGGCAATCAATGTACAAATGTGCTTTACATAATTAATGTATGTATGAATTGTGTTAAGAGTTGTATGAGCTCCTAATGAAATGATTAATAATAATAAAAAAAAGAAAGTAAATGTTTAGAAAATAATGATGGCAACATATGTATAAATATACTTGATACAATTGATTTATGGATTGTTATAAGAGCTGTAAGAGCCCCAATAAAATATTTTAATTTTTAAAACATTTGGTAACAGATGTACAGACAAGCTCACGCATCTTTTCCCTATTACTTGGAACTTTGAATAAAACAGTATTATGAAACCAGCTTCAAAATGTTGCTCTCTAAATCCTTAAATCAGTTTTTAGCCAAATCCCAAAATGTTGGCTATTAGGGTATCTTTTAAAGTTTAGATAAGTAACGCTAAAAGTGTTCAGGAAACATATCCTTTGTGATGTCTTTTTGTTTCCCTCTTAACATTATTCCTATGGCAACTTAACCTCATTCAATCACATTTGCACATAAAATATACTCTTGGTTCTTCTTAGAACTACTGTAAACCTGCTCCTCTTCTCTTTGACAATGTGGAATCTCATCAGGAAGGCAGATTTTAAAAACTTGAACACCTAGTGGAATACTGTGATGAGGAACCTTTTTTCCACCAGGGCCGTTTGGACACCTAGAACATCATCCGTGGGCCATACTAGTCAAACGTTTTATTCACTCATCCCTAATGTGAGGTCTGGAACTGCTGTTCTTTAGTGAGACAGGTGATGTTAGCCGATGATTTCACCAACCATACACAGTCTGCAGGACACCCCTGTGCTAGACCATCATAGGAGGGGAAACTACTTCAGTCAAAGTAATAGCTGGTTATTTGGGTTTAAAACTCTCTTCCCTCCTTTCCAACAATTTTTAAAGTCAGAAAAGTCTAGAAGTTTCTCAATATACCATGTTTCCAGTGGATATTTTCCCTCCTATTCTTAAGGCTCTTTTCTGAAAATTACAAAATTATGAATGGGAAAAATACCAACATTTGATTTTTCAGATAGCTACTAAAGACAGATTGGTCTGGAAAGTACTGTTTCCACTTTCAACCTTTTATACCTCAGTGAGAACTTGACTTTGAGTCATAATCAAATGCTACAATTGAATGGTTAAGTAAACTCTTTGATTTACAATCCACTTTAGCTCACATGGCACTGCATTCCTGAGAACGTTTTCTGTAGTTCTGAGAAACTGGCAATATTCAGTTGAAGCAGCAGGATTTCCTAATAAGTTGCATAGCCTAAATTCTGATAAAGATTGTGTGCAAACTCAATAGGACGATGAGGTTTTCATTAGGTTTTTTTTTTTTCTTCTATAAGAGAAAATTTCTATTTTCAAAAACCTTAACTATAATGAAAGTTACCTTAAGGAGATACTGTATTCAGGATAGAAGATACTTGTATATTGGACCCATGTACCCGTCTCCTCTTCAGTCTCCCCTTTTTTAGCTTCTGTTACAGCAAATAGATTAAATGATTCAAATCTTCGGACAGACACATGCCGCAGACAATCATCCAGTTGGTGCTGCCTCAGAACCTTTTAAATAAAACCAAATACCGTGGTCATCTAAACATGTAAGTGTTACAAATTTAAATGGTATGGAGACTTTCACTTGCAATAATGGTAAACTGAATAATTTGGACCAAACCACCTACCTACCGAGGACAACTAGAATGCATGGGCAATCTTTTTTAAACATCATTGAACAGCATCAAAGAGCAAAGAAGAAAGTGAAGAATTATTCATCTAAAATCTCAAAGAAGAGAAAAAGATGAGGGCATTGGGGGGAATAGGGCACTCATCCACCATGGGAGGGTACTGTTTGTCTCCACAGGAAAGGGAGAGGGGGACTAGACCTCAACCTGGGGCACCAAGCCTTGACGGCAACATACCGGTATGAAGCAGTGAACTAACAGGTCTGTGGGGCCAGCCTCTATACCAGTTATGTCGACCCCCTCCCCAGAAGAATACACTACAGAGGACAGCACTGAAGAGACAGCCTGGGGAGAATGCACGTCTGTCCAGACCACACGGGAGCAAACTAGAGAGAGAGCAAAAGAGAGAGAAAGAGTGGATAGCACCCTGCTCCACCAAGCCCCAAGGATGACACTTCTGCTTGGAGCAGCCAGTGCACAGAGAGGCCTCACCGTGAGACACAATGTCCCTTTACTGACCCACAATGCTACGGCGGGGGAAACCGGAGACACATTGTGGGAATTGTGCCTGGTCTGACCCCCAACACCAGGGCATAGCACGAAGGGAGTGCAACAGAGAAGCAAGGGGTGCAAAGCAACAAAGTCCCCGAAGAATTCTGAGAATGGACTTTGGACTCAGGGGGCAGGGCTTGGCACTGCATCAAACCCAATCAGAAAACGTTCATAAGGATCGCAGACAGACCTGGAACTATTCATAGGCTATCTTTTGTTTTGTTTTGCTGTCTATCTATATAAAATAGACAGGATTAACAATGTGGAGGAGAAAACAATGGGACCAGTGGTTTGGCAGGAGGGGGGATGGGACAGGGGAGAGTTGGGGGAAAGGGAGGGGGGAAATCAATAAACCCAGGGACAAGGAAACAAAAAGAGATCTAAAATCGATGGCGAGGAGGGCATAGAAAGCCTGGTGGGGTTCGATCAAGTGCAATGTAGCCGAGAGGAACTACAAATTGCCAAATGAAGGTTGAACCCGATAGTGGGAGAGGAGGAAAGTAAAAGGAAATAGGGGAAAGAATTAGGAGGCAAAAGACATTTATAGAGGTATAAACATAGGCATGTACATATGTAAATATATTTATATATAACGATAGGGATATAAGTCTATGTGTATATATATTTATAGGTTAAGTATTAAGGTAGCAAACGGGCATTGGGTCTCTACTCAAGTCCTCCCTCAACACAAGATCACTTTGTTCTAAGAACATGGCATTCAGTGATACCTTCCAGTCCTGATCGCTGAAGACAAAATGGGTGCATAAGCTAGTGTGGTGAAGAAACCTGTAATAGCCCGGCTATTACAACATAGAGTGTCTGGGATCTTGAAGGCTTGAAGTTAATTGGAACTTTTCACTAAATTCGCTAAAGATGAATCTAGGAAAATTAGAAGTCATCAAAAACTAAAGGTGTGCATAAAGATCGATATCCTAGGCATTAAGTGAGTTGAAATGGATGAGTATTGGTCATTTTTAATAAGCAGTCATTTGGTGTACTGTGCCAAGAATGACAGATTCAAAAAGAATGGCAATGCATTCATCCACAGAGAGGACGTTTCAAGATCTCTCTTGAAGTACAATGCTGTCTGGGATAAAATGATCTTTCTGCATACCAGGAAATCCAGCCAATACAAATACGATTCAAATTAATACACCAGCCAGAAACTAAACCATTTTACCAACTTCTTCAGTGTGAAACTGATCAAACATGCAATCCAGGTGCATTAATTGACAATTTGAATGCACAAGTTGAAAACAAAGAGGAAGGAACGTGGTGAGGATGGTGCAGGAACCCTGGTAGGGCGTGATCAAGGGTGATGTAACCAAGAGGAATTACTGAATCCCAAATGTAGGCTGAGCATGATAGTGGGACAAGAGGAAAGTCAAAGGAAATACAGGAAAGAACTAGGAGTCAAAGGCCATTTATAGAGGCCTAAATAAAGACATGTATATATGTAAATATATTTATATATAAGGATAGGGAAATAGATCATGTGCATATATTTATAGGTTTAGTATTAAGGAAGCAGAAGGTCATTGGG